CGAGATCCACCCGCTGGAGATCTTGCAGGCGCAGATCCAGCTCCAGCGGCAGCAGTTCAGCATCTCTGAGGACAAGCCCCTGGGCCTGAAGAACAAAAAGGCCGAGTACCCCAGCCAGAACAGGGATGCCGACTTGAACAGTTGTTGCTCGGAAACCGGCAAGGGGGCCATGAGCACGATAGACTTGGACTCGCTGATGGCAGAGCATAACTCCACCTGGTACATGCCCAGCGAGAAGGCCTTGATGGAGGGGCAGGAGGAGGACAAACCTCTGGCACCGTGGGAGAAGTCAAAGCCCCAGAATCCCAGCAAAGAAGGTATTTCTTTCTGACCCCTTTCTTAGCATGAATTTTGGGCTGGAGGCCCGGGTTGTTCTCTTAAATCCTGGAGGAGACCTTCCTCTCAGTCCTGGGATGGGCCATTCTGGTTAGTGTCATGGAAGGGGAACAAGGGGTGCTTGGGGATTCCTCTCTTCTCCGCAGAATTCCTTAGGGGGGAGTGTTTAAGGTTGAGTCAGATGAGCCATCTGCCCTGTTCTGCAGTTTTTCAACCATCCAGAGCCCGGGGACACTCTAATTAAAACAAACAGGCTTTATGCACCCATCCTTTCTGGAAGCACGATTGAATATGTAAATGTAATTACCTAATCGGGGTTGGTAAAGAGGTGTTAGGATTGTCACCTCTCTGTGTCTACAACCCCCTATGTAAACGCATCTCTCTTTTGCATAGGGACCGAGTTATTACTCGGAAATGAAGTAGTTTGTTTGGATTGTTGCTTTCCAAGACAAGGTTGGGCATCTCTTCATGCACAAAGGAACAATTGTTCCTCTGTGAACTCTAGAGGAAAATATATTTGGTCTGTAGTTTAACAGGGGAGTTACTGGTAGGTTAGGTAGGCCATCAGTGATTTAGGGAACCTTTGCAGACTTGGGTGAAAGGAATGTACACTTCACATTGGGAACAAAACACGGCCCTTCCCCTATAAACCTACACACTTAGCACTTCATTGGCTAGATGATGAACAGTGGCTATTGGCTTTTTAAAATAAATAGAACTTTTACTGTAGATGAAGCAGATAATGGGTTTCTTTACAGCTTTTAGGATGATGGTTTTAAAGTTGTAGTTTGTGCACATAACATGTTAATTTTAATTCCAGTTAGGCAGTATTCTAAACTCTGTAATTTCTTTGTTAATGAATGAATTCGACTAACTTTTTCATACTGGAAAAACTTAAAACACAACAAACAGTCTTGTAGCACCTTAGAAACTAGCAAAACATGTAGATGGTGTCGTGAACTTTCGTGGGCATAACCCACTTCTTCAGATGAATGTATGAATAACTCCATTCATCTGAAAAAGTGGGTTGTGCCCACGAAAGCTCATGGCACCATCTACATGTTTTGTTAGTCCGTAACTGGAAAAACTTAACACACAATGAACAGCCTTGTAGCACCTTACAGACTAACTCGCTTAACCCTCTGAAGCTTTATTTTCATACGGTTAAGTAAATAGGGAAAGTTTAAATTGGGCTCTCTGAGTTCAATTTACAGAAATATATTGACAGAAGAGAGCTTCCTCCTATGGCAATATTTACTTTAGTATATAATATCTACATCTTTTCTGTATTATACAGGTTTATCTTTTAAATATGTGATGCTGAACTAAGAAGTTTCTACCATGGTTAACTTAAAGAAAACATAAAATCAGACTCCGTGTCAATATAAAACATGTTTCATTGACAGATGTTTAATGTTAACCATTTAGCTTTCATTCTTGGTTTTCTATATTATTTAGAGGGCAATATTATTCTAAAATGAAAAAAACATGGGTGGAAAACAGTTATAAAAGGTCCTTAACAAAGATGACTTTAGATTTAATAATTTCCATTGTAGGAAAGCCATTTTTTTCTAAGGTCCTTGATTTAAGCCGTATGCATACACTGTTCCTCCACTATATGTAAAATTGTCCATATGCACATCTGGGTGTATTTTACATCATCCACACCTATCATGTTTTATGTTGATTCATTTTGCTAACCTTAATAAAAGGTCCTTAACAAAGATGACTTTAGATTTAATAATTTCCATTGTAGGAAAGCCATTTTTTTCTAAGGTCCTTGATTTAAGCCGTATGCATACACTGTTCCTCCACTATATGTAAAATTGTCCATATGCACATCTGGGTGTATTTTACATCATCCACACCTATCATGTTTTATGTTGATTCATTTTGCTAACCTTAGGCTGG